CTACAATTTTTCTATATTGGTTCATTTTCTTGTTTCTGGAAATCAATTTTAGAGTATGATGAAGGACTTGTATATAGAAACTGAATTGATTGATGAAAATAAGGTGGGTGGTTGTGGAGGTGCCATTGGTGTTGATTGTGGGTTTTATTAGTTGTTGCAGTGGTTTTTATTTAGGCTGTTTTTATTGGTGGTGGTTGGTGTTATGTAAACGGTGGTTGTGGCGATTGTGCAGATTTTGGACCTTTGTTTTGGGGTGGTCGTGCAGTGATTTTATTGGTGGCGGTCGTGTTGGCGGGGGTGGTGGTTTTGTGGATCTAATAATTTCTGTGGTGGTGGCGATGATATTTTTGGTGCTGGAGATTGTCATGGTTTTTGGTTTGCCGTCGACTGGTGAGGCTGTGTTGGCGACGTTAGTGATGGTGGTTGTAGTGAGTTGTCGACGGTGCTGGCAGCGACGGAGTAAGGTTACAGCATGTGAGACGCTGGTGGTGGTGAGGTGGTGCTATATAGTCTATGTGACCAATTCTGTGACCAGAGCCATGTGCTATGACCTGTACTGTGACCTATGTTGTGACTTGAGCCATGTGCTGTGACCTTTGCTGTGACTNCCTTAAAATTCGAATTGTGACTCAAAATTAATTAAGTTGTCACCGAAAAATTTACCTGTGATCATTTGAAAATAATCCGTGATCCTTATAAAAAAAAAAATAACTCGTGATTATGAACAAAATTCTAATTTGTGACCTAGACTGTGACCTGGACTGTGACTTGAGTTGTGACCTGGACTGTTTGTGACCTGACTCGTCGGAATCGGAGCAGTCGCCGAAACGGTCACCGGAATCGGAGTAGTTGCCGGAGCAGTCGTCGGAATCGACATCGGAGCAGTCGCTGGAATAGTTGCAGGAGTGGTAGGGTGGGGTCTGGCGGAGCAATGTTTTTGTTAGATTTCTATATAAATACAAATCAAGATGGCCCTTTGCCATTGAAACTCCATGTCACATGAATGGTATTTTGAACAGCGTTCGTGTGACCTTTAGGTTTCGATGTTTATCTGAAAGATGGGGATCCAAATTAAATGGGATTTCGGCTTCTTAATAAAATATGAAATTAGGATTGTGGATACAATTTTCCTTTCAATTTGGAATTTGTGCTTAGCATGGAGTTGTGCCAAATTGAACAACGCAACAGTAATCCTATTGTCACATAGACGGTGCTAAGTACTAGTGGAGTTGAATAACATTGTTCTTCTATTAATCTTTGATTCCGTTGTTTCCAAGCAAAAAACAAGCAATGCCTCCAAGATAAACAAAATCACAGTGTAACATCCTGGGGCGTTGTATGGTTCCCAATTCTCATCAATACTGCAGCCAAAGGAAATTCAACATTGTTTTGCATATAGATAAGCCCTTAAATAATTATTGTCACTTAGTAACTCAAAAGTTTGATCATCTGTCACAGCTATAAGCTGCCTAGGATAAAAAATGAAGGTCAGGATCTTCTTTAGTCGATCTATCTTTCCCATCTCAGCAATATTTTCAACCACCACATATAATTATTTACATGACCACCATAAAAGATTTGACAAGATCAATTATATAAAAGAATTATTTGCACATCTTCAATGTTTTATGAATACTACTGAACAAAATGCTTGATATATGATCTATGGTATATATGGTTCTCTAACTCAATCATTTCCTGTAAAAACCTCCCCAGTAAATTTAATTAAGTCGCCTCAGACATGAACTCCGCAAAAATTCGATACTATTAGGGATAAGAGGAAAGGGAGAAAAACCATTTCTATGGCCAATGGGGAAAAAGTGCAGGAGCATCATAAAGAACTGCATCCTAGCTCCATTCTTCCGTGCATCAACTAGTATGATCATTGGCACTGGAAAAGATTTTCTGCCAAACCCTTCATTATTTACTTCTAAGCACTAGCACAAAGGCAATGTCCACAAAGGAGGTCAAAAATAATGTCGGTCCAACCAAAAACTAGATGCCGAGCAGGTACTAAAGAGACTTGAACAATGAATCTCATGCACAGGCTATCAACGAACGTTCTCTTCTTTGGAAGTTGGGGGACCAGCAGTGACTCAAAATACGTATCAATATTTTAACCAGGTTTCTAGTTTCTCTGTGCCATCTTGAAATGTATTTGACAAAGTTATCTGCCCACTGAAGACTTCTAGCACAATCGATGATACTTCCATCTTCTGTTCCATCACTTCCTTGGTGCAGAATTTATTTGCTGATTACTACTCCAAGATGTGGCAATTCCTAATAAATTCATTAGAGTAATCAACATACTTGTTCCAAAATGGCCGGAGATGCTCAAAGCCAATCTCCAACCATGGTTTTGACTGGCCGTTGTAGTGAATTACAGCCGCCTTTTTCACGTTTTCAATGTTTGTTTTGCTCTGATAGCCCAACCCAAGCATATGCCAGGAAGGATCAATTGGATGAACATGACCCTTAAATGCAATCAAAGCAGGAGGTAAAGTGCCAAGCTTCCACAAAGTTAGATTTGAATTCAAATTCTGCAAGAACCCTCGACTGAGTAAGAACAAAGGCATATTATTGAAAACTAAATCGCTCATCCGACAATCTCGAAATTTGAATGCATACAACTTTTTGCCTGGTTTCAAGTCTAACAATCCTTTTATTTAGACTATATACCTTAAGCAAGAAGCATATCACATTTAAGTTCAGAATTATGCAACACACATTAAGACGAGTTAAAGGTCAGTGCTCAGCACATACAAAAATTTCAAAAAGATGTAACTTCCCCCAATTAAACATGTGTCAAGGGTCCAATTTGAGGCCATGTCAAAGCTCATGCAGTGTCAAGTTGTCTGTTGAAACATAAACAAGTGAGGACCAGATTGTGCAATAACACATAGCCCGTTAGAATTGTAACTAATCACAATAATGACAATAAGGTCTAGAACTTTATAAATGACTTGCAACTCCTGCAGGTAGAAGGGTGAGCAATTCTACATTTGCTGACGACTCTGCATCGTAATTCTATATATCCACTGTTTGGCCCCCATTAATTCCCATTAATTTCCATTTTTCAACCCACTTGCATTTTGCTACAGTATGCAAGATAATTCAGTGTTCTTTCATGTCAGAAACTTATAAATATCCATCCAACCGTTGGAGGTCAAATGGACCATTATGCCCTCGTTTTTGAATTACAATATACATGCACGTCAAAACATAGGGGCAATAAAGGAAATTTGCATTTATGGTGGTTGGATCCAATACTACAAGTCAAATGTTTTTACAAACAAATAATTGCTGAAAATGTGGAACAAAATAATGAGATATATTGGGGCCAAATGGAGACATAATATGAACCAACAAAAATAGTTAAGGTAGATAACGAACCTAGGAGGACGTTGAAACATAATTAAATTTTACCTCCTTGAACCAGGCATGATAAGTGTCCCTGATGTTTGTCTTTCTCCATGCACGCAAGTCAAAAATATTCAGCCCATATGCCCATGCACATTCATCAGGATCCAAATTGTCGGCTATAAGCGGATGAGAAAAGTTAAAGTAGTTCCTAAATCTCTTAGACATTACCCACAGATCTTCACCTCTACAAGTTTCAACAGCTCCATTAACTTTCCCATTAAGATCAATTTCCCAAAGAGGGGACAAATCACGCTGAATTACAACATCATCATCAGAGAAAACCACCTTGTCAAGGTTTGGAAAAAGCTGCACAGCACATTCATGTAATATTCTTAGCATCGGAATAGAAAAGAAAATTCCTGATGAAATAGTAAGCAAATAGCTTTCAATCTCAGGTGTACCATATAATAGAATAAACGAGTAAATGAGGACTGAACTTCAAATTACATGCCCCACGTGGCAGAAGAATGCCCATTATAATTCACACAAAGCCAACAGCATACTCCTAATTGTTTTGACAAGGTTTTATTTAATCGATCATGGTCCAAACTCTCTTTCCAGTATTAAAACAGAGAAGCTTACCCAAAAATTCAGTAGTTATAGATAACAAACCACGCTTGATCACTTAGTAAGATCCTGAATAAATTCTAATCATTATCTTAACTGGAACTTTAGCAGAAGAAATGATCTTTGAGAACAGATATAAATTAAACTGAATAAAGCTCTGAAGAAATAGTGAAGCTCAGGCTTCATTTATAGCTAATTAACTTTGTCACAAGTAGACAACCGATAATCAGTCTCAGTTTGTTCATTATGGACAATGGCTAGGTTCCCAGTGGAGGATATAGTTTCAACCCCCATATATATTCCAGTTCTATAAAGTAGTTATCAAGGAGCAGAGGATGGACTGAAATGTGATTGTAAGATTGTCCAATGGTGTTAGATGTAAGCAAGAAATTCACTGGCTGTGGAGAGCGAGTCCTCTTATTTGCAATATAGTTTTGATTTCCGAATAGTATATACCGCTCTCCATTTACATACTTCTTTATAAACGTTACATCTGATGGAAATATGTATTTAATTGACAGCTAATTACCTCTGGGAGATATATGCGTAGATGGTTGAGAATTGAGATGTACTTGGGACTTCTAGCTTGTAATTTTGAGGCAAATGTCCTAGGGGATGTAGTGCTAAGATTGGCCCCAGCGACATGATTTCCATGGTAGTAATTCCAAATCCCATTGTGGTTCTCCTCAGCTTCAAGTACTGGAACATTCTCTCTTGTTAACCAATCAAACTGATGAACTCCTCTCACTTCAACAGTAGCAGGAGAGACAGGATTCAAGGCAAACCATGAATGCATGCCTGCATAAGTTTTCCTGTCAGTTATGACATGGAAAACAACCTTTTCAGGATTTATAGATGAACGGACAGCAGATGTGACCACAACTGAAGCAGCAAGAATGTTGTCGGTAGACAATACAAAGTGATGGTATGAATTGTCAGAAAGCAAAGGGAGAAACTCTGGTGAAGGCAACTGTTTGCGTGCATGAGCATTGGAAGAGTATGCATCGGTCAACCTTAAAGAGAGGCAGTTAATGCCCTTAGGAATTGCGCTTGCAGCAAAGTGTTTGTTTGTTAGCTCTGCAAACTTTGACTCCCTTATCTCCCTTTCTGATTTCTCCATCTGTAAGGTAAAAATACAGAATTTAAGCTGAATAATATTTGTAAAACAAAGTTGAGAACACCCAAAAATTTTAAATTCTGTATATACCGACATGATTATAATTATCTCAGTAACACATGACATATTGTATAAGTATGCATGTTCGTATAAACACAGGTTCTGCAAAGTAAGTTAAAAATCAAGGTTTATCATCTGCTATTTACTTCATTTTTCTTCCCTTAAGTTCTGTTTTTTCCTTTCCCAGTTAGGAGAAAAAGCTCTGTTCGTCGTGTTCTTGTCCGTTAATTGAACAGAAAGGATATGTACTAAAAACAACTCCTCACAAATGAGATTAACAAATTGATGCTAAAGACAAGTTCTAACTTCAACATAATTGTGCCAAGCAAAACCTATCTTATGTCATCAATTTATTTGCTATTAAGTAGCGACACATTGCATCTTTCAAAAACTATATCTAGTTTGACTGTATATATTGATATCCTTTTTCATATTATATAATTATTTGAACACAACTCTTACTAATTGCCAAAGGAACAGCTTTTTGCCTCTTGAATGTAAAGAAAATAATAATTTGATCTTATGACCTCAATTCTTCACAACTGCGAAAAATCGCACATTTCGGAAATACCCTATGCCTCAGGAAAATACATTAGGTCTTTAACAAGAAAAGTGAAGTGCAAAACTAAAGAGTTCATTGAATCACTAAGCAATTACTGGTTTACATATCCCTGCTTTTAAGAAGAAGGTAAAATGAACTGGTGTTTAGTCCTACTTCATTTTGCCATGCCCAAATAAAGCCACTCATCAAATATATTGGTTCAAATTTTTGTCAACATCCGAAATCATCCTCCTTGATCAAAACCTATTAAAAGTGAAAAAAAAAAAAATTGAGCACACCAATGGCTTTGAGTTTGGGAAAAGGGAAGGAAGGAAAGAAGAGCGCTAAATAGACTGCAGTATCTTTTACAAGTGAAACTTGAATTGACTCAAATTTATATGGAAGCCTTTCCTTGCAGAAGGAAAATTCTCAGAAATTGAGACCATATTCAAAGCTAATAACATTGTTACACCAAAATAAAAACGAAATCATGAAGGGAGCCAGCTGTTAGATAACACATACCATTCCTTTCAAAATGAAAGCAAATTCCTTTGCATTGTACTTGTTCTTTTTCATTTCAGAAACGAGTTGACTGAAAGACTGTGGGAGCTTCAGGATATCGGGCACTTTCTCAGAGTTCACTTGATTGAGGACCTTAACAAAATCCTTGACAGTCCTCTGCCAGAACAGTAACAATATCAATGTTTAAGATACTTATTTAATTATCTCGAAATTAAAGAAACTCTGTCATATAACATATCCAATTTGGTATGCATAAAGTGCAGGTGTAAAATGACTACAAAATTTACCCCAGAATCATCACTTCTACCAAGAAGCTTTGGCGTCAACCTTCTTCCAAAACAATCTGAAAATGAAAAATGAAAGAGAAAATTTAAGGCCCGATTTTTCTGTAGATATGTTAATTACCATTTATATAAAAGAAGAAGACTGTTTCAATGCAACATAAGGAAAGCACACAAAGAAAACATAAGAACGAGTATGGCTGTTGTGCGATACCATAAAAGTATAATTCCTTGAAATTAAAGAAAAGACTGCGCATTCAAATTTGCTCACACTGAACTCCAGTATATTTCAAAACACGAAAAAGAGCAATTTCGAATAACCCAACAAATTTACAACAATTCCTGACCACATAACCCTTGACAAGCAAAACCATTAGAGGGATTCTTTTCGAATTCTAAATTAAATGTGGTGCTCTTTAGAATCTTGCTTGGAGGTAGTTCTTCTTTTTGTTTCCCATCCCACTTGGTTCTTTCTGTTTTCTTCAAAGTTCCGTAGAGTACCAGAATCGAATCAGAAGTTGAGAAAAATTCCTCTACAAAAACAAATGAATCCTAACCTCTCTAAGAAATAGCACAATCATGAAACCCATAATAATGAAGTATGTATAATAACATGAAATGCACAAATAATTATAAAAAATTGAGGTAAATTCTGGCCAATTACCAAATGAGGAGCACTTGTTGACACCCTCGAGGGTAATGACAGCTGTAAGAATGAAGACAAAGGGCAACAAAAAAGCAAGAATCAAAATGGCATGGAAGAGCGAGCGGAAGGAAATGTGACGAGGCGCAACCTTTATCTTCATCAAATCGCCCCCTCCTCCATTGCCATTGCCACCGTTCGAGATCGTTATACTTCTCATGCCGGGTGAGAAGTGCAGCTGCATCTTCCTCCTCCTCCACCTTCCTCCTCCGCTATCTCCTTCACCCCAATCTCCCTCCTCCTCAATTCACAATAATTATTATTATCGCTACTACCAATTCGAGTAAAACTAATCTTCTTCTTTGAGAAAAATCTTCCAGAATAAATGTTGAAATTTGATGATGCGGTCGTCACCATCAGATACGCCACCGATAAAAATCAACAATCCTAATTTCCATTCTGCGTATGTATGAATTCAAAACATTTTTGTGAAACGGTGATGCATTAAATGCAAGAAGGATAAATAAATCAGTGAATAATCATTATTTTTCTCTATTATTGCTCGCATTTTTTACTGATATTTGATATTGTAATATTCACATCAATCTCTGTGTGGATCAGAAGAGTTGATTGTGGAGAGAGAGAGAGTATTTTATTGCATGTTTGGTTAAGCTAAAATTTTGAATTACAATTGGTTTACTTGGCTGGTAAGTAAGTTTCAAATAAATGTTTAAAATTATAATTACTTAATCGCATAAATATATGCATAATTATGGAAAATAAAAATAAAAATCATATGCCTCGTTTTGTTTGTTAAAAATTAAAATTTTAATAATTTTTTTTAAAGTTTTTTTACTAAAAACGTGTATTCAAAATGTTAGTTAAAATTATGAATCCCATAAAATGTGCTGATAAAATTAATTATTAACTTTGACTTAATTTTTTTTATCAACTCTATTAGTTAAATTAAACAAGGACTATATAAAACTAACGTAGATCTTTCGAATGGATCAAGAAAAGCTAATTTTCAATATCAAATGCGTGTTCGGTAGAGATTAAAATCGGATTAAAATTGAAAAATTAGTCGTTATTGTTGACTTTCATTAGAGGAGTGAGACTCAATAATTGCTATATTTTCAATTTTAATTGGATTTTAATCACTACCAAAACATACTCCAAATTTAGACTCTATTTGGTAAAGATTTTTAGAATAAGTTTTTTGAAAAAAAAATGATTATTTTGGAAAATATGTGTTAAAAATAGAAAAAAATTAAAAATCCATTAGCAAAATTATTTTATTGGAACAATATGTGATTTAAAATGAGTTTGAAAAAATAAGTTCTAAATAACGGTGCCAAACATGGCTTAAAGTTGAAAATTACACCCAATCCCTAATAACTGGAATTTTTGAAGTGATAAGCTTTTTGGGTGTGGGGTTGTTGAGGGAAATGGCAGTACACTGCATTTTCTTTGTCAATAATCAATATAAGTGACTTTTGATATGTGCTTTACTATGCAGAGACAAAATAATTTGTGATAGACAGCTACATTTATTTTCCATTTCTTTCAATTTTTTGTATTAGATAAGATTGGAAACATGGTTGTCAAAATGTGTTTATAAAAAGGAATACAAGTTGTTAAATGGACAATGTGGAGTGACGTGACAATGAATCGAGTCTCAATCAATATCACATCATATATAAACAAAAAATCTAGCCCGAGCAAGGTGATTGAATATTGCCCCATGTTTGATAATCATTTTTATAAAAGTTTTTTTCTCCTCAAATTCATTTTCAATCACATATTTTCACGATAAAATATTTTACATAGAAATTCAAATTTCTTTCTACTTTTTAATCACACATTCTCCAAAAAATTACAATTCCAAAACTCATTTTCCTTAAAAAAATTCTTTATAATGGTTGTCAAGCAGGAGCTTAATGAAAAGTTAAGTTGGCTATCAAGTATAACAACTAGCTGCCATGGCAAAAAGGCCCAATTATTAGGACCAACTCAAACAATACAAATGTAAGTGTTATGCCCTAAATCCAATCAATTTTGAATATAAACACTTTTAATATATAATTGGTGGATATTTATGCAAAACTATTATTTAATTGAATAAATACTCTAATAAATTAAATAACAGAATTCATAGATTCAAATCTTTGTAATTTGTTAATCACGATGAGTTGTGATTGTGAAAAACAAATTACATATGGTTGAATCTTAAATCATTCGTGAACATAATTAATAATGAGATACATATATCGTTAGTACGGATAGATCATCATGTGTGTCATTTCTTACTTGTGAAGAAGTATATAATCTCACAATCTAAAGTGTGATGACACTTAAATGAATAAAGTTAGAATACGTGAATGTTTTGTTATAAAACAAAACATTGGAGACCCGTTGGGGAGATTCCATATGGATAACTATCTAAGTGTCAGTGGTTAATTTCTAACGTTCGGTAGTGAAATTGGTACTTGATTTGAGGTCATCATATGAGGACAAACATACTTTGGTAATATTGGATGTTACTCTACCATGGGTCGTTAATATGACATCGTTCCGATATGTAAAGAATCATATGAAAGTTGTGAATGATCAATAGATAATTCGTCACTCTTAGACAATAAGAGGTTATGATCTACATTTTATTCAATTAAGTTAATAACGAAATTATTGGCCAAGTATTCATAAGTTGAAAAAGAGTTTTCGACTTATATTGATTTAATAGTGGGATGAAAGATATGATCGATAATTGAGATTAAAACATATTCATATCTCGTAATTGATCGGATCATATTAATGAAAAGATTAAAGTTTCATACTAAACGAACAAATTTAATTTTATCATACCACATGACATTTTTCGTCAAGTAACCTTGACACATTGCTGATGTCAATCTAGGACGACAAATATGAATTTGAAATAAATTAAAAGATGTATTTTAATTTATGAATTTTTACTAGATAAAAATAATAATTTATGTCGTTATGTATTGTGATCGGAAATTTAATCGGTCACACATCAAAGGAGAACTAGAAAAATGAAATTCACTAATTAATTAATTAATTAACAAGTGTTGTACATTTAATTAATTGTGTTACTTGTTAAGAGGCTCGAATTAATTGATTGATTAATTCATGAACCAAATTTAATTAATTGAATAAATTAAATATTGGATCGGATTAAATTTAAGAGACGGGTCAAAATCGCTTGAACTTATATTAATAAGTTATTAGGGTTTTAGAAAAATTGAAGATAACAATTCATATTTTTGCTAGCACAAGAAAAGAGAAACTCTAATTCTCTAAGTCTTGTTCTCCATGTGGATTTTCATTGGAGGTTTGACAATTAGACAGTTTTGGATTGTAGAGTATGATTGTTCGTGTTTCAAGAAAAGTAAAGCAACTTGCAGAATCTACAAAAGGTACAATTTCTATAACAGTTTCTTTCTAAACATAAAGAAGATCCTTGGTGGGAATTGAAATTTATTTATTTTCTCCTGTGCATGTTAACATAAATTCTCAACAGTGGTATTAGAGCCTACTTTGTGTTTGTTAAAAATTATTTTACATGTTTGAACAATTAAAAGTTGATTGTTGATTTCTTGTTTCTAGAAACAGTTGCGACAGTCGCGATTGCATCGTTGCGACGGCGAGCGCCGCTGTTGGAAATGTCAGTAGAACCTGAAAATCACAGCAACGCGTGGCGCTGCTGCCATACCTGGTGGTACGCCCGCTGTGAGACAGCGACGGCGCACCACCGTTACTCCATGTGCGCGACGCCGATTGCCGTTGACACTGTAGTGAGAGGGGGAGAAAATTTCTAGGGTTTCCTTTTGATTTTGGTGATTTTGGTGGCGGGGCTTGGATTGCAATTTATGAAATTGCAAGCCCTCGCCTCCAATTACATATTGAGGGGTCATTGTGCGATTTTGAAAGAAAGAGCATTCTTGCAATTTGAGAAATTGAATGCCTATTAACCATTTTAAAATAAAGGTCATATTGTAATTTTAAAAAAGAGTTTTGATGTCAATTTTAAATAGGGATTTAATGTTGTTTTGAAAATGGTTTTAAATTAAATTTTAAAAGGTTTGACCCTAAAATTTCAATTTTGGTTTGTTTAAAATTTTATTTAAAATTGACGACTTTTATATTTTCGTTAAAATTGAATTTTAACTTAAATATTAAATTTTGACCCTAAATAGAATTTTATTATATTTAGGAGTTTTATCCTAAATTAAAATTTTAATTCAATTAAATTAGAGTTGGACTCTAATATAATATTTAATTAAAATTTGATTTTAATTAAATTATACACCCTAATATATTCTTGAAATTAGAGTTGGACTATTTGACCCGTTTAAATTTTTTTTTTTTAAATTGACGATTTTTATATTTTCGTTAAAATTGGATTTTAACTTAAATATTAAACTTTGACCCTAAATTGAATTTTATTTTATTTATAAGTTTTATCCTAAATTAAAATGTTAATTCAATTTCAACTTGAACTCTAATTTAGTATATAATTAAAATTTGATTTTAATTAAATTATCCACGCTAATAAAATTTTGAAATTAGAATTGGACTCTAATTTGACATTTAATTAAAATTTGATTTTAGTTAAATTGTCCCACCCTAATTTTTTTTGGAATTAGTGTTACTCTATTTTGGTATTTAATTAAAATTTGATTTTAATTAAATAAGTTCGCCCTAAAACTTTGAAATTGGAGTTGGATCTAATTTGATACTTATTTAAAATTTGATTTTAATTAAATAAGTTCGCCCTAATATTTTTGAATTAGAGTTGGACTCTAATTTGATATTTAATTAGAATTTGATTTTAATTAAATTGTCTCGTCTCAAAACTTTGAAATTAGAATTGAACTCTGATTTGGTATTTAATTAAATAAATTCGACCTATAATTGTAGAATTAGAGTTGGACTATCACTACACTCACAAAAGAAGCTCACACAGAGAACGAAGATAATGCTCACAGGCTGCCTCCCACAATCTCACAACCACACTCTCCCACACCACTCACAGAGTAAAACGGGGTACGCCATAGATCTCAAACCCACTATGCATGCAACCAATTACACCAAGTAATAAGATTACTCCAATTCATGTCAAAGCACATATCAAACACATTGAAAAATACACATATAATCATGCAACTGAATTGAGCAATCACACACATACAGAAGGAGTTACACACAGATGCTTGTGCAGTAACAAGGTTTACACTCAATAAACCTTACTAGGGTCATCACTCGACCCAAGGACAGAATTCGCCTCACCACTCTCATCATCTTACCTTTTATTATCACTTCTCGACAGTCTATTTCAACCATATCCAAATTACTGCAGTTAAAACACATCATAATTTTCACACCTGCCCTAGACCACATTTGCCATCAAAATATTTTATTAAAAATACTTTCGTTTTGCCAAATTAAAAACCCCCAATTTTCATTAAAACATGCACAACTCATAACTAATCGTCATTTTACCAAAAAAATGCACCGAACACAAAAATGCAATCAACAATGACCACAAGTAAAGTACCGATACAATTCACACAGAATAGTCAAGTAAATTTTTCTAAAGTCAGGTACAATTCTAATAATGAAAAAATTTATTTGGCAACTAATTCACATAAAATTCAAGGCAAATAATTAACAGGTAATTCCCAAGTTTAGCAACAGGCAATGGTTACCCCTTCATGGTAATTCCAAACCTAATGTCACCCCACACGATGACTTCTAATGCGAAAAAATAAATTATCTTACACAATAATTTTAACTGCAATAATAAAAGATAAAGAACACGTTAACGAGCGGACCACGTCTGAAGGTCCGTAAATATCGAGAGCTGTGAATTCACCACTTTGGGACTATCGCAATCCGCCCCAAAGCTTCCGTCAACACGAAACGGCATCCGGCACCCGAACATCTAAGGGCAAAATCGTTTAACTTTCACCGTATTGCTCGAAACTGAAATCCGACAACACCGCACATCCGTTTCGATGTCCTTGAAAAACTGCATGAAGACCACCNAAAAATAAATTATCTTACACAATAATTTTAACTGCAATAATAAAAGGTAAAGAACACGTTAACGAGCGGACCACGTCTGAAGGTCCGTAAATATCGAGAGCTGTGAATTCACCACTTTGGGACTATCGCAATCCGCCCCAAAGCTTCCGTCAACACGAAACGGCATCCGGCACCCGAACATCTAAGGGCAAAATCGTTTAACTTTCACCGTATTGCTCGAAACTGAAATCCGACAACACCGCACATCCGTTTCGATGTCCTTGAAAAACTGCATGAAGACCACCTCACTGGAAAACCACCCCACGCGCTGCGCATGGGGCTCACGCGCCGGCGCGTGGACGACATGCGCTGGCCTCCCACGATCTTCTCAGCTTGTGTAGTCCACATGTGGTGTCCGTTTCTCCAAATTCCTTTTGGTTTCGTCGGAATTCAATGAAACAGATCCGACAGAGATTTTTCAAAAATACCCATATTTTCCTCCAGTTTTCTGGTTCAATTCTAGTCCACTTCCAGCCCCTTTTTGCCCCCCAAAAAACACATATTTCTCAGCAACACAAACTCTGATACTATTTGTAAAAATTTGGGGCTCCAATAACCAATTTCCGAGCTCAGAAAAACACAACGTACACCAATCTCCACATGCTCGACCCAACAACCCTCTACACATTTGTTGCTTCTTTCTACCCTCTTCGGTTGCTCTCTATTTAGTACCCACAAATGATATTAGGTGGTGACTACAATTGAGAAGAAACAAGGTGAACAACAGTGGTGGAATCTCTCCAATTCCTCCCAAATCCGGCTGTCCCCTTTCTCACATTTTTTCTCTTCACTTGTAGCACCCACACAAAATGGTTGAGTTTCTACTATATAAATGAGAAATGGCTAGGTTTAGGTCACTCCTATAGGCCAAGACTCACTCATAATGGGCCAAGTTAATGGGCTAATAACCAAATCTACCCATTAACTAAACTACCAACCCAATCAAACTTAGGCCTCCAATGTGTATTAATTGTTTCCAAGTCGAGCCGTAACTTTTGGTGTCGCTAAAATAATCTGACAATTGTTTTACAAAATTACCCGGATTTATTGAGTATCAAAAAACCCAACAAAATGGGACTTGAGTAATTCACTGCAAAATCCAGTTGCTGCTATAATTCTTGAATTCGACCACTGGTTTCCATTTGACTACTGTAATTTTTCAATCTTGTTTCACATTTTCGAATCCGGCTGCTATAATTCAAGTTACTGCTGTAATTTTCGAATCCGACTACTATAATTTAGTGCAAAAGTTTTTGTTCAATTTTCGTTAGGGTTTGGTGGGTCAGGTTGGGGATGGTGGCGATGACGAACTACGTCGACGATGGTGGAAGATGAAGGTTTGGGGGGGAGGGGGCAATTTCTCTCTGTGTTTTTTTTTTTTTTTTTTGGTTTTAACTTAATTATAATAGAATATTGACGAAAATGCTTCTATTTAATTGGTCAAAATTGTTCAAATTTTTCATTTTTTGATCTGTGCAATCCAATTGAATAATCTTGTTTTTGAATATATTTTGTACGTAAAAATAGGTTTAACAAATTAGGATTATTAATTGTCAATTTAAGCACAAAATGAATTAAAAGTGGGAATTTGAGAATCACAACGGATACCAACTTTCTTTATTGATTTCTTTCTCTAGAGATTGATTTTGATGAAAAAGACGCAGTTATAATTTATTTAGGATCATGGTTACTAAAGTTCAACCATCAATTATATGTGTGTGTTCAATTTTAACTCGAATGATTGAAGTTCGGCTAAACTCTAAATTCTCGTGAGAACGATATTATTTTACTCACTTTTAATATTACTTGTTAACAAATTAATTGAACAAGTTTTTGGATCATTGACGTTCATACACATAATGGTCAGTGAAAACTAGTAAAGAGAACTAAGAACAATTATATGCTATATCCAATTGAAATCGAATTAAAGATACCTTATATCAAATTATTTTTCTTCTATAATCCATTTTCTAAAATACCAAAAGTGTTACACCAAGAAAAATGAGTCAAATCATAAAATCTTTGTACAATTTCGACATTGAAGGATAGTATTTGTCGTTTTATTGTTAAATTTTTTAATCTAAAATGAGTGTAAAAAATAGTTAAGCACTCAATTTATTGAAAGACCAGTGGAAATTACGATATCACTACTTCTTCTCTTTGTTGGACGCTCAGCTTGATGTGATGATGAACCTTTCATTCTAATTCAATCATGTTTGAGCCTCATTCTCTAAAAATTCAGTATTGTTCGAACTTATATTTAATCACATATTTTCTCAATAAATTAATTTTGCATGTAAATCTAATTTGTTCTTACTTTTTAGCCATACATTCTTAAAAAATCATTATTACAATACTTATTTTAATTAACCATTTAGGGTAGACGTAGCTTCCTTTCGAGTTTTATTTGTCTTAAGGGAAAAAATCATAAATAAGGTGTATAGTTTATACAAATTCAAAAATCAGGTTTATAGTTTAAAAATTCAAAATTCAGGTATTTTGTAATTAATTAAAAATATTTATTAATTAGGTCACAATTATACCATTAATGGTCACATATATATAATTGTAGGTCACGGCTTATCTACCAGTCACATATTATNCAAAATTTGTTTCTCGATCACATATTTTCAAATTATTTGGTCACAAATTATTTTGCAATCACATATTATCAAATTTTGAAGTCACAACTGGGTCGATACTTGGTCACAGACGACCAAACAATGGTCACATACATCTAACAATGGTCACATACAATCGCCACCAACACTACTGCCACTGCCACTGCCACTAGGACCCCTCACCCTGCCGCCGTCGCCACCACACCACCTCCACAACGTGCCACCACACCCAGAGACACCACCACCGCACCAACAATAACGAATAAAAACCATCCCTGCTACAGCCCCTGAAAACCACCACAACCTCACCAACAAAGAAGAAACCACCCCTATTACAGCCCCTCAAAACCACCACACCAAAGTCGCACAATGCACCACCACCCCTACAAACACCACCAGCTAGCGATGCTTACATCAGACATCAGTGCGTCTCCTTAAACGCCACCACACCAACAGATCGTCACAGCACCACTACATCAGTACGTCGTTGCAGCCGCGATCTGAGCTCAGGTCTGCTTCCGCTGCGCCGTGAGTCATCCCTGCACGCTCGATGCCATTCACAGAGAGAGGGAGGGAGAACGACAAAGAAATGACACTGCCGTTCCATTCACAAGAGGAAGGACGGAGAGGGGGAGGTGAGCGTCGCCGCCGAGCCATGAGCCATCACCGGCGACGCTGCCGTTCCATTCACGGAGGAAGGACAGAGAGGGGGAGGGGAGCGTCGCCACTGCTCTTCCATTCACATAGAGAAAGTGAGAAGGGGGAGGGGAGGAAGACGAGAGAGAAAGGAGAAGGGAAGGGAAGGGAAGGGAAGGGAGGGGAGGGGAGGGGAAAATGAAAAATTAGGGTTTTAAATTTTTATTACCTGAATTATGATGAAAAAAGTTAGGCACCTAACATTTGCACAGGAAACTTTAAATACCGGGAGCCGTGTAATTTCCTCTTGGCTTAATTTTGAAATAACTCAATGTTGGGTTGGGCTCTATGGAAGTCCACATTCACTCATGACTCGTATAACAACCCTGGCCCAATAGGAGTCCCTATCCTCAATTAACTAGATTATAAATCATAACGGTAATTAAATTTCATTGTCTTAATCTTAATAAGCCTAAATCCAACGGTTCATAATCGTAGAAATATTCAAATAAAGATTTAACGCCCCAAAATCAAGCCAACAAGAAACTAGCCGTTACAACCCGAGCGTCCAGAGCTTAACGTTCTACTTTTTCCCCTTCCCTTCAATTCTCACAATAAAATGAATTCAAGAAAATTCAGAGTCCAACCCTAGACGATAATCTCCCAAATTTTCTGTACCTAAAATTTTTTTCTCAATAAAAGCCATTTTCCGGCGAACTTTCAGATGGATTCAATGAATTTCAAGACAGTCAGAGCAGTTACCCCTGAAAAGGTATCTAGATTTAGTGGAATCTCAAAAAACTCGGAGAATTTGAATCCCAATGTGTCGAGCCCTTCTTTAAAGCTGTCGAATTCACCATTGGTGAAATCTGCAAAAAGCACAAAGAAGACCGTTTCAGAAAACCCTAATATTGGGCCTTCGCCGAAGAACAAGATTCGAGCGAGGAAGTTTGTGATCGCGAAGAAGAAATCGCAGAAAGAGGAATCGAATGGTTTGGCGGCTGCTGTGGCTTGTACCAAGTGTGAGAAGACAAATGGGAGATCTAAGTGTTTGTGTGTGGCCTATGAGAGTCTGAGGGCTTCTCAAGAAGAATTTTTCAAAAGCCGTGGTAAAATAGATGACGGGGTTGATTTCAAGAAGTTAAAGGAATGCGATAGTAGAGTCGATGGGGAGGAGAATGGAGTCAATTCCATAAATCAGAATACAGAGTTTGCACAAGGACCCGAATGTGATTTTCTGGAGATTAACAGGGAAAATGAAGACGATTTGAATGGGAATGTGGTGAATGGTGAAATGGGTATGAAGAGAAGGAGGGCTAGATTGATGGAAGAGGCAAGAAAAAGTGTGCCGGATCCGGGGGCTGGAAGAGTGATGCATTTGGTTAAGGCCTTTGAGAAGCTTTTGACAATTCCAAAATCAAGTGATTCTGAGGAAAAAGAGGAGCAGGAATTGGAGGATAATAAGAAGGGAATTAAATGGGCATTGCCTGGATTGCAAAATCCTCCTGAGGTTCCAGAAACACAGATTTCTTCATCTTCATTCTGTCCTTCAGATTTTTTCCTCACCTCAGAGAGCTTAGGTCTGGATTCACGCCGTACATCTTCACTTAATAGCAGCCAAGGAAGGTGCGTTGTATTGTAAGTTCATTTAATGTTTCTGTAGCCACAAATTCTGTCTCTGCTGGTTGATCTTATGGGATTTGTTTCATGACTTCAGTGTTTCAAGTAGCACTGGTGGTCAAAGAAGTAGACGAAATGTAAGAAATTTGTTTAGCCTTTCTTTGCCTTAAAGCTATATGAGTGGTTTCAGTTCTAGACTATCTAAGTTACATTTTTCATTTTTATAGAGTACCGAGTCATCTGGGACTTTTGCTAGAAGAAAATGGAAGAGAAGGCAGCCTAAAGCAACCTCCCTAAAGCCCTTCAAGCTTTTAACTGAGGTTTGCATTGACGCGATATGGTTTATTGCGTGTGTTTTGTTTACTTGTCATCTGTCAGTGCTAATTTCAGATGTGATACTCAAGGAATTTATGTAGCCATGAAATTTGCAAATAATCTAGTTACAAAATCATTACTTAGGAAGTTCTGTGAAAAATTTATAATGTTCGAGTACATAATATGAGTGAAAATTTAATCCATATCCATTTTCATCATAGTGAACATGGTTTACGGTTGATTTGAGGAAGGGTTTCACTGCATTATTCAGCTTTTTTAAGCTCTATTTGATAAGAAGTGTTTTTAGAGCTGCTAGAACCGGAAGGATGAGAAGAAAGGTAGTGGATAGTTTACATGGCTTCATAACTTTTTGTGAGTAGAATAAACTTGAACTGTAGGCTTAACAGTAAGATTATGAAGCGGCAATGCTGGAATCAATTTTGAATTAATTAATGACCAATTGTCATTTGTTTTTATTCTAACTGTTCTGAGAAAATCCACAGCATTAGCTTGTTTATTACACCTAAATTGCTTACATCAATGGCAATTTTGATCCAGACTAGTTGCTTTAATCATCATTCTTAAGCAATCAGGATTACTTCATTAGATTAATCTCCAAGTTTTCATTCTTGTTTTTATCATTAACTTGTTTTGAAGTTTCATTAGTTGCTTAGCTCTTTCAAAATAACACAAACCTGGCAATTGGACAATTGCAGGAAAGAGGAAAATGCAAAGAGGAAGAATTTATGAAGAAGGTCCAACAGATGCTGGAGGAAGAGGAGAAGCTTAGGATACCAATTGCTCAAGGTCTTCCATGGACAACAGACGAACCAGAGGTAATTCAAGCACCCTGTGGAAAAGTTTTCAGTTTAATATAAGCTCTTTTCATATTCTTTAGATTGAACATCGCTGACCAGGATAGCTTTAATCCCTCGTCTTTTCTCTCCTGTGGTTCCATTTTGATTTTTTGAAATTTTTCTAGATCTTGATGTTTTGCAACCACTATTGGTTTAGTTACAACTTAAGGAACTCATATATGAACAAAACACTATGGACTTAATTGGGATTTAATGACAACTGACATAATATAGTTGAATGAATTTGTTTTTTTTACATCTTTTTCCAAATATCTCATCACATTGTCGTGTATTCTTGGATATATCGTAATAAGGAAATTTAAATGATTTGTTTTTTGTTGTCAGTGTTTAATCAAGCTTCCAGTTAAAGACATTACAAGGCCTGTAGATCTGTTACTGCACAGTGACATTAGGGCTGAGGAGCGAGCTGGGTTTGATCATCAGGTACATTTCTTTTCTTCATCACTAATCCTGGTTGTATTGCTATATAACGAACTAATGAAGATAGTGAGAACAAATTTCTGCTAATGAGAAATAATACAATGAATGCATTCCCTGCTAAAATTGCTTAAATGCATAAAGTAATCTTGATCATATATATGCACTTTTAATTTTCCATATCATTGGCCCTTTTTTATCAACTGATACTGGCAAGTTTGGAATCAAGAAGTATAGATATTCTCACCAGTTGTGAAGATTAGTTCAATCAGAACTGTTTTGGAATTATTGGCTAATTAGAACAATTTGATCTGAATATCCCTATCCCTCACGGTGACCCCGAGAAAATTTAAATAGAGTATAACCATGTGTTCAATACAATCATATAGATTTGAAGGACCATCCAAACTGAAATGTATGGAAAAACCTTTTCAAATGAGGATGAGGTATGAAATCTAGAGCTTGTTTGGGAATGATTAAAATTGAAAATATAGCCGTTATTGGGTCCCACTACAAGCTCCTAGCCATAAATGAAGAAACGAAAGAATACATATAAAATAAGATATTTTTATCAAAACAAGGTGGTAACTGTAAATAATATTCAAAAGAAGGCAGACAAGAAAAAATTTGTAGTCAAATTCAACATAATAAGAGCTGGAATTGTACACACAACCAGGGAGAGAGAGAGAGAGATTGTGTAACGCCCCAAAAATTTCAAGCATCATCTTGAGGTGTTACCAAACATAATTTTCAAATACTAAAAATGAGGAACTATAAAAATCGATTTTCTGAATAAATAGAATATTCATAAATTTAAATTTGAATCATAAATCATATCTTTAAAATAATTTAAATATTCTCAACTACTGTTATTGGACAA